CCCCAAACGACCCTCCGAAGGTTTTGAATTCAGAGTTGTCCCTCTCCTAGACCAGCTGCCATCCAAGGCTATAGAACCCAGTCTGAAGAGGGAGAAGAAGAGGATTCATACCTTTCCTAATGGTATTAGCGCATAAGTAAATATGATGGATTCGACTGTAATTTGAACTTGGCTTTCCGATTCCTCGATCCCAGCCGATATCCACTACTATATCGTGCCTCCCATATACACATATAGATAGATATAGTGAGAGTGGTGGAGAGAGAGATGGAGGGAGAGAGATAGGGATGAGAGAGATGGAGGGAGAAAGAGAATTCAGCTTTCGCGCTTCTCTCTAATTTAACTACTAATTTCTGTTTCTTAACGATTTATTTTACTTTGGCAAGCATATAGCCTGCTATAAACTTGACCGAGTTCTGATAACCTACTTCGCGTAAAAACAAACCCCGGTAACTTCGTTATGTAAAAGGCTATGTTTATGTAAACAAACCACACGGCTTTGGCCGTTTTTTGTGGGGAAGGGGGAAGCTTTTCATGCAACATTATTTCGTCTAAGATTCCACACCTATTCGAGGATTGGTTTTATATAAACCAACTAATCCGAAAAGATTTTAATTTATTACGTCACTTTTTCTCCCGACTTGACGAATGTAGCAGGTTGGTACAGGATCTTACATAGTTATGGTAAGTTTCTAAATTATTTCCATGCTAATATTCAAATTGGATTTCTTAAACACTCCAAAAGCTGTTTAATTTTTCAAAATTATATTTATCAGTATTACATTTAATTCCAGTAATTATAAATCATAACTAGGATTATGTTTCTATACTATAAAAGGAGCCTTTATACACACAACAAGGGTAGTCGAGGAAGGCAAGAAGAAAAGTTTAACCGCTAATTAAAAGAAGATAGAATGAATGGTTACCAGCAAAATGTAGCACAGATACCGGAAGGCAAATAGGAATAGCAAAATACATCTTTCAGAAATTAAGGAAGAGACAGTTGAAGTATCCCGGATACATAATGAGGAAAGAAGTCTGGAGAAATTTAACGCTCACAAGACATGGATGACAGATTCAGTGATGTGTTTTTTGTTTTTTTTGTTTTTTTTTGTTTGTTTTTTTGTGGCTTATAAACTCCTTGGGCGTTATTTGAAGCCGGGATATATTTAGGATTGTTGGAGTTGGCTTACAAAATCCGGAGTTCCAAACCTAAGTATTGACCTGATGCAACGTTGCTTAACTTCGGCGTACGAACGAAAAACGGTGGCAGAAATAATACAAAGACGAAGAGTGTTTGTAAAGAAGCAAGAGTTAGCTTTAGAGGAACAAAAAGACGAAAAGAAATTGTCGAGAACCATATTCACCCATGTCTTGAGAGGATACGAAAGAAAGAAAGAAAGAAAGAAAGAAAGAAAGTATAAAGAAAGAAAAAAGAAAGAAAGAAAAAGAAAAAAAGAAAGTAAAAAGAAAGAAAGAATAAAAAGAAAAAGAAAGAGAGGGAGATTGTAAGATAAACAGTCGTAGCCATCTTTCTGTCATTGGTTGAAGTTAACTGAAACCTTTACGCTAAAATTGTCAGAAATACCTTCGAGTCATTTGCAATTGGGAAAATCTGATCACGTCTTCAAGTCACCTATGATTCATTAGCTTCATATTCAAAGTCTATTCAAAGTTTAATTGGCTCGCTTGGTTGACTTAGAAAGGATTTGAGCTTTTCCGGGTAAAATGGATGTCAATAATTATCCAAAATGTTTTAAATTTTATTCAGCCTTACTATACTCGAGACTTTGATTGAGTGTCTCTCTCACCGTAAAAAGACATGCGTTCAAATTTCCAGTTATCATTCTTCTACAATAAAGAAGATTAGATCCCCACAGGAGAATTGCCGGTAGACTATTATAATCCAGAAACAATACGCAATGCAACACTGTAATAGTCGAGAGAAGTTTAGTGAACATTGCTGGAGAAATTGGGGACATTCTTGGTAATGTTTATCGAAAACACAGAACATAAAACAAACTGTGGTGAAATGGTATATGCAAATATAATATATACTTTTATCTATTTGCTTTAGAGTGAGTTCTTTGATATTCGGTGTAACAAAATGTTCGTTTATATAGCAGATATTGGTGGTAGTCTGGAGAAAGTCCGTTTTGGCACGGCATTAGAAAGTTTGTGAAGTCAGCATCTGTTAGTAGTCGTAGTCATCTTAGAAACAGGTCAGTGTCAATCTACTGTGTTTTTCTCTCTCCCGAGAAGGACAGAAATATGATTAGCAGATGACCTCTTAAGTACTTCACACGTCACGCATGGATAGTTTCTATAGCGGTTGCGTTTTTTGTCACTCTCGCCGTCCCTTCTCGCCTAGCTTAGAGGTGTAAGCTTATATCCTTTGGACCAGGCTCCAACACGTTGGTGCGAAACTTGATTTCGACAAACATTAAAAATCTCTTTGTGTTATTTTTTTAATTGGGCAAAACTATTTTATTTTCCTTTCTTTTTCATTTTTTATAATGGAAGTTATGCGTGGAGCCTATCTGATTTTTGTTAGTTTTCAGATACAAATTAGTTGGCACAGTTCCCGCAAACTTCCGGCGTTTTTCGAGTTCGGTCTTTTCATCCTCTTTTTATGAGAGGGTTGCTTTCTCATTAGTTAAGAGAGAAGTATATAGAGATAAGTTTACAGCGAGAGAGAGAGAGAAAGAAAGAGAAAAGGGGGAATAACCGAACTGAAACCCTTGCTTAGCGTTTAATCTTTACTTCATCATAACAAAAGACTAGATTCTAGTCATTTTTTTTATTCTCGTTCTCCAAATCTGTTCTTAGTCGTTGTTTAAACAGCAGGGCCGTTTAGAAATCTTTGATTGATCGGAAAATGGCGGAAAACCTTTATATATTATCTTTTTAACTCGCTTTCTGCGAATTTAAATTTGTTTTTATTATTTTAAAATCAATAAAAATCTCATGGCGTTTCTCAATGTTACAATGAACGTATGACTGAGATTTTTATCTCGCCATATATAAAATCTTTAATAAAAAAAAATGACAAGACTTTTCCATTTATACCGACACATTTCGTTCCCTGAGGAACTTCGTCAAAGGCAAATGTAGAAATTATTGACAAAAATCAGCATATATACATACAGAAAAATTTGTCATAGAAAAAAAGTAATGTTATGTGTTGAAATTTTAAATTAGAGAACATCTCTCGACGTTAAAGAAAGAAAAGTAAATTAATGTTGTTGATGTAAATATTTATTTATTTTTCAAAGCAATGAGTTAACCAGTTGTCATTAGATTCTCAATGGTTATTTGTCTGAGTAAAGTATTTTTAATTTCTGCTTATTTAACAATTACTATATTGAGTGGAGTTTAACATGCCAGCAAGTGTAGAGCGTCTTTGTACTAAAATACGACTATCGGGAATTGATTTCTATATTTAGAATTGAACAGATATCTGAGGACGATTCAAATCTTACCCATGTTGTACAGAAAATCTTTCATATTTTTTAATCATTTCACCCCAAGCAAGGCGATAATGCCACTAAGACGAAAGTGGTTACCAGGAGTGAAAGAAAATGAGAAGGCTTTGGTAAGGATAAAGGACAATAATAGAACAGGGTTCCGGAAGATAGAAGATGGTGGTTGGTGTCGCATTTAAATTTTTGAAAATTGTAGGTGGCAGGAGTGCAAGGAATAGGAAGAAAGTTCCACAGGCAAGAAAAGAAACTATTAGAATATGTTATGTCTTCATTGCATTGAATGAAAATGACACGACCAAGTAGTATGTCGCTTGGAGTCGACGTAGTCATGCTGAAGTAGGTAGTTAGCAAATCAGCTAGATCTCTAACTCTCTACTTGTTTATTCCAAATATTTATTGTACGAAAATACAAATAAGCTACATGGGCGAAGTTGGAATGGGGAAGGCTGGTCTTCACTTGCCCTATCGATAACTTAGCTAGCCTCAATTACTGATCCAATTGTTCGTACATAGTTCATTTCACCAAAATATGGCATCTACACAACACTGTCACACACAGATATTATAATGTCACATTTACTCTATGAATTCCTACCTAATCCCATATGTATAGTTTTGTGGGGTTGGTTTGATAAAAGTCTCTCTCTCTCTCTATATATATATATATATATATATATATATATATATATATATATATATATATATATATATCCCAATGATCATGATAAAAAATAAAACTAAACAAAATTTGTGTTAGTAACGGACACCCCTAACAATCTAATCATGGCAGAGATGACAGTTAACTGGACGAAAAATACTGAGGAATTAATAAAATGATTCACCCGTTCTACAATCACTCACATTAGCACTCACAAACTTAGACACAATAGCAATTACGAAAACTCACACTCAAAGACGAAAGACCTCCTACATTTACCAGAGAACTGCAATCCCTGTCACCTAAGTGGAGAGAAGGGGAATAAACCAAAGGAAAAATTGAGGATAATAAATAAAGCGGCCGAAGACTATCCATACCCTAGCTAATTTAAATTCATCGACTTGAACTAAAAAGAAAAACGACTTACGCTAATCTAAACTGAGATGACAAATGCTGAAATCAGGCGACCAATATTCTCAATTCTATGTCACCTCCAGATGCCATTCTAAATTACCCCCTCTCAAGCGAACCAAACGCGAAGCATTCAGTCATTTTTCATTTTTTTTATGTTGAAAGTCACCTCCTTTCTGCAAAGCAACTTGATCACACCCCTGGTGAAGCGATCGGGAAAGTGTCTTGTCTCTACCGACATACTTCAATGCAAATCGGACCCTTGCAAGATTTCTCATCCCAGATTTCCTCCTCTGTGATCGAACTACCACTGCAGGAATCAACAATCTAGGATTTGAAATGCACGTCTTTCAAATCGGTTGGCACAAACTTGATGACCCAAACATTAACAACCATAAGGTTCTGTCTTGCAAGTTAACCATTTTACGTCTTTCGCAACTCTTTCGATGACTGTATTTGAAATTGTTAATTTCTTTTCCTTCTTGTTCTTCCTCTTCTTGTTCTTCTTCTTCTATGTGCGATGTCCCTTCAGGACATGGGGCATCATTCCACAACTTCCCATCTTTGGTCGATCTTAGTAACGTTTGTTTTTTTACTACTTCCTCCAGGCCTCGTTCCGCCAACCATTCAGGCATGCTCGCCAGGTAAGTGACCTGCTTCCTATACGTGTTTGATCCTGACATCTCCAATTTGTAGTTCACATCTCGAGGTTTTTCTCTTGTTGACAACTATACACTCGGTCTTCTTACAATTGATGCGTAGTCCTTTCTTCCCGCTTTCCTCTTCTACTTTGTCTAGGAGGTTCTGCAGTTTTCCTTGTGTCTGCCATCAGCACAGATCATCTGTGTGCATTATATTAAGATTGCTGCTACCAATAATAAAACCTAGTAGGATCTCTCGCTCTCTTAGTAAAGTTTCGCCGAGTTGCTTGAATATATCCGGTGAGAAGACACATCCTTGTCGTACGCCTCTTTTTGGTAACAGGTTTGCTAAAAGTAACCATGATGATGATAGCGATTACGGCAATGATGCTGTAATCGTTACTCTGATGAAGATGATAATAAAGATGTAAATGATGCTTGGAAAAAATATATAAATGCCGCCGGCTGTTGTAAACCCGGCAAACCGCGCAACTCTTAAACGCGTTGAAAACACATGTTTACAATTTACTTGTAATTGAATTTGTATGTTTAGCAGACTTGCGAATTGCTCTTTTTTATCTCTTGGTTACTTTTCTCTTGTTTTTAACACTCTCTTTAATTCTTCTGCCTTTCAGTTTTATTCTTTCTCTTTCTTTTTAGTATTAGAACGTTCACTTTTTCTTTTTGTTACCACTCTCGCTTATTTCTATTCCTTTCAGTTTGTTTCTGCTATTATATCGTTCAATCTTTTTCTCTAGTTTTTCTCCTGTCGCTTACTCTCCGCCCCCCTTTTGATTTTTACGCTTTTTCTTTCTTCTATGTTTATATCGTTCACACTTTTTATTTTTTCTCCCTCTCTTATTAATCTTCCTTGCAGTTTCACTCTTTCTTTATGCTATTATATAGTTCATTCTTTTCTCTTATTTTTACACCCTCTCTTTTCTTTTTCATTTCAATTTCTCTTTCTCTTTCTTTCTACTACAGTGTAACCCGGATATAAGAAACCCGGATATAAGAGACCTGGTTCCAAATTAGGATATAAACCCGGATATCTTCTTCTCCGGTCCCGACAACTCTTACATCCGGGTTACACTGTATTATATTGTTCACTCTTTTCTCTTATTTTATCTTCGACTCTCTTTTTTCTCGTTCCTTTCAATGTCTCTCTATTTTTCTTTCTACTATCATATCGCCCATCTTTTTCTCCTCTTTTTACACCTCTTGCTCTCTCTCTTTTCTCCTCCCTTTCATTTTTTTTACCTTCCTTTCTAAATTATTATTCACCATTTTCTTTTGTGTTTTCCACTCTCTCAATTGCTTTCTTTGACTTTTCTTCTACTATTGTATCGTACACTTTTTTCTCTCATATTTGCCGTTCCCTTTTTTCACCATTCTCTGTCGTCCCCCCCCTCTCTCTCTCTCTCTTTCTTCAGTTTTCCTCTTCGTCTTTCTCACTTTTTCATTTTCTTTCTCCCCCCCATCTCTTAAATTAGTCCTTTTCTCACTTTGTCTCTTGGACTTTGCCGCTTTCCACCTTCAAATTTCGCCAAACCACAACATCTCTTTATATTTACAATCTTTCTTTGTTTCGTCGTTAATTAGAACGATTAATTACAATGACACTTTTTCCTAAAAGTTTTTCCTTATGTGTCTCTTCCTTAACCCATGTTCACCGTAAAATCCAATATTAATTATAAAACTTAAATAAAAGTCTAGTATTAATTACATGCTATATATATATATATATATATATATATATATATATATATATATATATATATATATATATATGAAGAAATATTGTTTTAGGGTGTGCTATATTTATAGGATAAAGTGCTCAATATCAGAGATAGAGCGTATGTAAATATAAATATAAAAGTGAACATTGAAGTCAACACTCAGAGGCGACAGACTGTTTCATGCCAGACGCAATCGTCAGGTTTTTACTCAACATATTCTAGCCCACTGTCCCAAGATGAATGGACCAAAATATATTATTCTACCCACCAACTACAATTGAAAAGGATTTACCTAAACTTAACATAAAATTTGTTACAACTACATCTCAAACAATGAAAGACTTTATATAAAACAAAACTTGAACGAGGAATTTGATCTACCACCTATAATAATTGCTACAAAGGATCCATAGAAGAAACGTCGAGAAACTCTTAAATAAAAGTTTATATAAACACAAAAGAGCTCAATTACAAAACAACACATTTATCGCTTTAATTTTTCACCGTAATAAGTCTGAAATCGATTTAAAAATGCTACTTTAATTAAAATAAAAAAGTAATTTACAAAAACGAAAGTGAGTAGAAAGTGCTTTAATCGTTAGTAAATTTGCGTCCAGGTTCTTACAATATTTCATTTTACTTTGTAGACTGGCAGCAAGCTCCCTTCGTTTTACAATTGAAATGACTAGATGCAACCGTAAATTCTATGTTAACAATTTATTGTATTACACTTCTTGCTTGTGGAACTCTCTGTTGGCTTCTTGCTTCCCAGTCAACTTTGATCTTCAAAAATGAAATCCAATCGTTATCTTCTGTCTTCTTAATACTTGTTCTTTTATTATCTTTCTCCTTAATAGTATATTTTTCTCACGTTCTCTAACACTCTTGCTTCTAGCCTCTTGCCTCTTAGTGGTTTTATTTTCTTGCTTGCGGTGAAATGATTAAAAAAAAATAAAGGATCTTCTCTCATCACAATATGGTGGATTTCATAATGAAAGTGATAAAAACAGAAACAAAAAGAAAAAGAATCTAAATGAAATTGACTAGACAATAAGCCCAAACAGATATTTTTTAAAAAAGATTTTTAAATGTCAGCGTCCATTCTCTTTCTTGAGCTTGTGTGTTCACATTAGCGTAAATTAAAAGACAAAACAGGTTCCACTTCGTTATTAACTGAGTATGGAAAAAGCGTAAAATTGCAACACATACATTTTTTTTTATTTGGAAAGAGAAATCAACCCTCATGAAATATTACTCTCTTTCTATTTACTCATTTCTAGATGCTTTTCTTCGACTGAGATCTTTATTTTATCTTTAAGAAAAATTATTTTAATAACACCAAATATCTAGCACCGACTTTTGTGCATGATGACCAGCTTTTGTTGCAGTTAGTGGTGTTCCATTTTGCTTGACACGTGATTCCCTGTTGTTGTAAACTATCCACTTTTCATCATCTGCTACAATTCACTTAAAAAACAGCAAAAAAAAAAGCCAGAATATTTTCTTCATGTTTAAGTAAAGAAATTACACATGGATGGTATAAATCGAAGCGACTAACCAGGCCGATGCCAATAGTTTTCAACGCTTTAATTGGATATTTTATGCATGTTAAATATCTTTCGCATTTACACCAAGTAACGACTTCATTTCACTGCTGTCAATTTCAACTGGTTTCACCGACCGTTAAACCATCGGGACACTTCATAAACCACTTTTGAAACATTCGATCATTCGCAAAACCTTCACCATCAGTTATGTGTCATATACGCTTAGGCGATCATGTATTTTTTGATACATGACTGACGAGGTAGATTTTTTACCGCAGTAGGTTACAATTTCTTTCTGCGGTAAACCAGTTGCCATCCAAGCCTATAGTCTGTCCTTCTATTTATTTGGAGGAGAAGAAGAGGATTCATAACTTTCCCAAAGGTATTAGCACATAAGTGAGTGTAATGGATTCGACTGGAATTCGAACTCGGCTCTCTGATTCCTTAATCCGAGCCGCTATCCATTACTCTACCACACTACACAAATCTGTTTGCACATTTTTACTCAATAAGATACCAAACCTCATTTAGTGTAGAGGGTTACTTTATGATATTTTTCTCGGGACGTAAATGGAAGATGAAGTGCATATTATGAGGATATGTAAGATAGATAACGGCTGATCCAAAACTTGAAGAGTGTAGTAGTATGGGGAGACATCATCTTGTTCTACAAAGTAACAAGTCTGTGGAAGAAGCTGTCGAAGAGGAACTTCCTCCTTACTAATGGAATACAAAGGAAATGAAGATGGTTCGCCTCTGTGTGTAGGGTATGGCGGGTCCTGGAAAGTCTGAACTGGGGAAACTAAAAAATGTAGCTCGTCTGAATATTTGGCATAGAAATAGTGATGGACTAACGAGAGGCTCGCAACAGTTCCTCTGCGGAAAGGAGGTTGCAGAGTATAAGATAATTCATCACACACAAGTCCACGTAATAGTTTCTGAACTCTAGCAAGGCAATAGCAAAGATATGGCAAAAGATTTTTCGTCTGATCTGGCTTTTCTTTGGGGAGGATATATCGAGGACTTTCTGGAGCGGTACATGCAACCGATTTCAATATCTTTAGCAATAGTACGAGTATGCGAATTCTACTTAAGTTCTGGAATGAGCTTCAGTCCCAACAGACGTTCGAGACAAGGAGTCTCCTTGAGAGTACCACAAGCTCATGAAGACTCGAGTAGGGTCTTCTCGGTGGAGATTAAACATTACTAGATTGAATTTGGGGTTATATACTGATATTAGCCATTCTTTTCCTCCAAAGAGGTCTAGATCAGTGGATAGATCAACTGCCAGGATCTGGTCACCTAGATTTTTGGAAGTGTAGCTATAAACCATGGTGCTGTAAGCTTGGATGTTAGGGTGGTGTAAGGGAGAGCAGAGTTCTAATTCCAGTTGGCTTCGTTATATTCACTTCCGCGAAAATAACGTTGAGAAAGGCATGAATCCATCTCTTTCCCTCCCAGGGTTAATTAATAAGACTTGTTTCCCTAAAACCATTATTATCTAAAAATAAATAAAATTGCGTACAAAATAATTAAATTTCAGCATACCATGGAGGTGTTGATATGCCGCTAAACAAAAGCAACCAAAAAAACCGTGGAGTCATCTACATATATATTTACTAAAGATCTGAAAATGTGCTTAGGAGGATCGTTAATATGAAATGTGTTTGCTTATTTCTTATTCATCTCCAACGTTAGAAACAAACAAAGATAGACAATATTTTAAAGTGCACTGATATGACAATTTTCAGAAAACAATCAAAACGAATTAAGTTGAAATTAAAGTTACTTATGAGATCTTACGACAATCACAGAACGATCTGTTTATTTGAAATCAAAACAACGGAATACATTGTTTTTGTGGTTGAGAGTCTTTGAGTTAACCAAACGATTGAAAGACGAGAAAAGCGGATGAGGATTCTTCGTTTTAAATCGTGATGTCGTAAAGAGCAGACATTTTCTTTTCTCAAATCGTTTTAATGCACACCTCACCAAACGCGCCTAAAGTCATTCGTTTGCCTTAGCAAATGAATGCCTTGCGAATGCTACCAGAATAGCTCCATTTTTTGTTTTGTTTTGTTTTTATTTTTCACTGATCAAAGCCAAATCAGCATGACGTGCACTTTCCTTCTTTGCTTCTCGACATGTAATTAATGGACACATACGTCGTCGTGAATGGTCTTCTTCCTTCAATTATGCCATGTAACTAAACTTGAGAGGCGCGCCTTTGATCCTGCTTGTCATGGTACACTTTGGACAAGGCACTATGCTGAATATATTACAAACCTGCAAACTATTTCCTTAATGGAATGAGTTCGCTCCTCGCAGATGTCTAAGAATTATTTTCTATCCGGAATTTCAAAATCAAACTCCGTAAAGTCGCTGTAAAGATATGGTAATCAGACGATCCTCACTTGGTGCCGCACTCTTGGCATCGAGGTACTTAATGAGTGTAACATAGAATTCAAATGGTAGTATTCTTTTAAACAACCGAAGCTGAGTATAAATGGGATAAGAGGAACTAAGCCAGCCACTTGGTACAACTCGCCCCAGACTATTGCAAGTACAATACATATCTTGCACAGACATGCACGTGGATGTGCACGTCAGTATCTATCTATCTATTTATCTATCTATCTATCTATCTATCTCTCTCTCTCTCTATATATATATATATATATATATATATATATATATATATATATATATCAGTCTGTTAATTATCTATCTATTACAATCGCTTCTCATCTATCTATCTATATATCTTATCAATCTCAGTCTGTTAATTATCTATCACAATTGGTTCCTATCTATCTATCTATCTATCTATCTATCTATCTCAGTCTGTTAATTATCTATCACAATTGGTTCCTATCTATCTATCTATCTATCTATCTATCTAATACAGTTGAATCCTATCTATCTATTTATCCATCACAGTCGGTTCTTATCTATCTATGTATCTATCTATCACAGTTGGTTCCTATCTATCTATCTATCTATCTATCTATCTATCTATCTATCTATCTAATAAGATGAAATAATAATGGTAATGCTACATACTGATATACTTCAAATTATATAATTTAACGTATTTAAATGTAACGTATTACAAGGAAAACAGAATTTCTACCAATAAAGTGATCGATAGCAATCTATACCAACAATTATTGGATTATAAGTAATATAATTTCGCAATTTTTATCAGAGGTCGACTCGGAGTTTCGATACGCATTGTGAACTTATATTACTCATAATTCGATAATAATATAAAGTATTTTTAATATATATATATATATATATAACCATTTTGCGTTATTTGTAGTGGATACTCATATTTATGGCAGAAAAGCAAATATACTAGGTTTTAACTATCACAATTTAATGCCAGTGGTTTTAATACTACTTGAGTGCTGGGATCTGTGAAATATATATATATATAAAATAAAACACAATTCGCATTGCGAGAAAATATAAGGTGAACGAAAAAGGAATCACGACTAAAATACACATTTATAAATAAAACTTATTAATAAAACGATTGGGCAAAAGAAAATGGAAAATATACGGACAAAATGGCTACTGTAGATGGTTTTAAGTGAATATAAAATGGAAAAAAAAACATTTTTTTCTCTCCACCTCGTTTTATTAATAAGTTTTATTAATAAATTCATATTTTAGTCGTGTTTTTTTTTTTCCTTATATTTTCTCGCAGAGCGAATTGTATTTTCTTGTTCAATAAATGTATTTATCAACGTATTCTTCTGAGGATTTCTTGGTCGGGAGGGATATATATATATATATGTGTGTGTGTGTGTGTGTGTGTGTGTGTGTGTGTGTGTGTGTGTGTGTGTGTGTGTGTGTGTGTGTGTGTGTGTGTGTGTGTGTGAGTGTGTGTGTAGCTGTTGTCCATTACACTGTCCATTACGTTATCAATTATATATATATATGTAGAGAGAGCCATTATCCATTACACCATCTCACATGCAAGCTTACAGCACCTGGTATTCACAAGCGGTACCTAAGTACTGACCAAGATCGACGTTGCTTACCTTCGGTGATCGTACGAAAATGGCCGTTACAACGTGCTATTACCTAAACATTATATATAGTGGGTACACATGTTTGATGAAACATCCCTGTGTTTTTATAGACTGTGTAATGTACTTATAATAAATTGCTTAATATATATATATATATATATATATATATATATATATATATATATATATATTATCACATTATCAGTGGTTAGACGTCCAGTTGCCTCGAGCTAGGATCGAAACCCGGCGTCAGTCGGAGAATCTACTCCTAAGCCATTGGCCCCCGACAGGGATGGAGGTGAATTTAAGCGTATTTATTTTAGATAAACACGCCAGTCACTCATAGAAGAAAATTCGTTTTATCGGAGAGTACTGTTTTAGTAGCAGTAATAATCACTGTTTACAAACTCTCACTTTCTCCCAGAGAGCTCAGTACACACACACACACACACACACATATATATATATATATATATATATATATATATATATATATATATATATATATATATATATATATATATCCTTTCTGGTATATACAGTGAGGGGAAACAAATATTCGTAAACATAGAATTTTTAACTTATTGTATTTCCAAGTAATGAATAAACTTACTTTTCATATAATTAACTGTACAGAGATAACTAAATATGCATAGAAAACAGAAAAAAAATGATTCAACAGAAATATATACCATTTATCCATTCTAATGGGTGAAAAAGTATTCGTACAACGCAAATTTCTGATTTAAATCTTTTAAATTGCTTTAATACTCTAGATTATTCAAGTGGAATATTCTGGAATGTTCCAGTACTGTTATCAGTAGTTATTTGTAGCCTAAAAATACAAACAGAATATTCTGTAATTGATATTTGTGCAAGAAAGTTTTCATCATGGCAAATGGTAAAGAATTGATAAATTCGCAAAAAGAACTGATTGTTAAGTTCTGGAAAGAAGGTAAAAGTTACAGGAAAATCTCAGACAACTTGAAAATTCCATCAACTACCATTTGTTCATTCATTGCAAGGTATAAAAAAAACTTAAAACTGTTGGAAACCAAAGAAGGACAATTGTTCCACGGAAGATTTCTGCAAGATCTTCGAGGAAATTAATACGTCAAATTAAATAAAATCCAATGGTTGCTCGTCAATTCTTGCAGGATGATTTGCTTTCAGCAGGAATATCACTAAATGGACAATAAGAAATTAAATTCATAGGAACAATCAAAAGTCACGTTCCTCTCGGGAAAAAAAACCACTGCGACTGAAAAGACACAGAGATGTCAGGTTGAAATACGCTCGTGAAAATAACGTTAAGGAAAAGAGTATAATGGACAGACGAAACTAAAAGTGAGTTATTTGGACGTATGGAGTAAAGATGGCGATGCCTTCAAACAAAAGAACACAGTTCCAACAATGAAATTTGATGGTAGCACCAGCATGGTTTGGGTATGTTTTTCTGTATAAGATACTGGTAACATATCAGTAATAGATGGTAGAATGAATGTCTCAGCATATCAAAATATTTTGGAAGCAAATTTAATGATTTCGGTTGAAAAGTTTGAACTTCCTTCTGATTCGATTTTCCAACAAGACAATGATCCTAAGTACACTGCAAAATCTACGAAGAAATGACTTGCTGAAAATAATGTAAACATCCTGAAATGGCCAAGTCAGTCCACAGATTTAACCCCAAAGGCGAATCTGGCATTATTTGGAAATTCAAATCCAATCGAGAGCTCCAACAAACATCTCGGATGTGAAGAGCATATGTAAAGAATGGAACAAAATACCAACTAAAATTTGTAAATCATTAATTGATAACTCCAAGAAGAGGTTGTTTGCTGTAGAAATGAATGATGGCTATTCTACAAAGTATTAAAGGAAGATTATATATTCTTTTTTGTATTGTACAAATACTTTTTAACCCATAAATTTGGATGAATGGGGTTTATTTCTGTTAACTCAATTTTTTTTTTGTTTTCTATGCATATTTAGTTAATATACATCTGTGTACTGTTAATTATATGAAAAGTGTGTTTATTCATTAGTTGCAAATACAATAAATTAAAAATTTGTATGTCTACGAATATTTGATTCCCCCACTGTACACACACACACACACATATATATATATATATATATATATATATATATATATATATATTACTTACTGGGTTTATCATGGTTCTCCACAGCTTCCAGTCTTTCATGGTTTCAGCAACAATTACACATATTCACTTTTAACGGAAAGAATCTGCAGTCGCCGCCATATTGAAGATTAAACATTACATAGTTGTACCTATATATTTGTCGCAACGCATAAATACGTCATTCGATACAACTCGTGGATAAAACTGATTATATCTGATTTAGATTTTAAAATTGCAAGTTTGTCGCCATTACCAATTTCACATTATTATTAACAAGCAAGATTAGGATAACATATCAGCGTAAAATCAAACAGATTTTTCACAGGTTTTTAAGTCTTGTCAAGATCGTGGCCACCAGTAAATTTTATCAGACTAACAATATTCTTAATTTATGTGTCCTGTCCTTTCCGAACATGAGCAATCGTGGTCCTACACCACCTCCTTCCGTCCTTTTTAGCTCTAAGGAGCATTTGACTCTTTAACGATAAAAAGTGTGACTAAAATAGTAGTGTAAAAGACAGCGTGTGTTGTTTTCAGTCGTTTTTCTTTAATATAGATACAACAACCCCCAACTGTTAACCATAGAAGCGTCCTACCGTCAGGCTTAGCGCATTGCTAAGCTGCACTGCATGCAGTTTTAAAGCTAGACACTGCATTAATCTGGGCGAATAGAGAACAAGGTGAAAAAAACAGCTGTCAGCAAAGTCTTCTCTAAAGAGCAAATATTCTCTGTACAGCCACTGCGCAAATTCCTGTCAGTGTCGTATCGTCCTCATTAGCCACCAGCACGTATGCAACAAATAAGTACAAAACTGACCTGACCTTTAAACTCAACGATATTGGTGCAACTTGTTTACTTTCAGATACAGCTGTTCCTCTTTCCTTTTACAACAGAGCTTGACGCGTAGGTGTCGAAAGATATTTTCGAGGTGTTCCGAAAGAGAAAAATCCTGACAAAATTTTGCTAATCTTCCAGAAGAAGAGGAAGAGGAAGAGACTAATGATCCTTTGGGGGAGGGGAAGTCATGTTGTTGATAGTCTATATGTGTCATGATGCGATGATGGATAGTGACGGAGTTTAAAAAACTGGTAACAAACAAGATCATTTTCAGACTTGAACTCGTGATTATTTTGTCAACTTCGCACTTTTGGGAAAATTCTTGGCAAATGCTCTCGTAAAATAAATTGTAAAAAAAAATAATAACTTCACTCTTTCTCCTAAATCAGCCTCTCTCTCTCTCTCTCTCTCTCTCTCTCTCTCTCTCTCTCACTTTCTCTCTCTTACTCTTCTTTCCCCTCCCTCTACATCATGTTTCTCTCTTTTGACTAATTTTTTCTTTCGCTCTAGTATCTATATTAAGTTATAAAAACGGCCTCTTTTCAGTATGTTATTGTTTACGAAGCTTAGCTTAGTTTGGCACAAGGCCACAAGTTCAGAGCTCCCAGTGAGGTTTGCACTCCCAACGTACATGTCCGGGTCTCTTATCATTACACCACGCTGAGTCGCCTTCTTTTTAGTGTTACCTGCAAAACTGCAGAATTTACAATTCTGAGACCGGATTAATGTAGATTTTTAAATATTACATTTAGTCCATTGCGTTCTTTACTAAAGGCCACCTCATAGTGCATCCCTCGAGTAGAATCTCAAATCTCGTCCGTACACTGAGAGCGATTTTTTTTTAGTTTGGTTTAGGTTCGCGAGAATTCACTGCTGCCATTGGCTTAATGAACAACATGATTTATTTTTGTGTAACCAGTATTTATGTTTGTAACAAATGAAAAAGGATGTAACATTTTAATTTTATTTGATTTGAAGAAATAATTTATTAATCTTGTTTTTTATTTCCAGTCTTTCTTATTACAAATGCTACAAAATCTCTCTCAAGAAAATTAATTTTAATAATGTTTTTTTATGTTTAATTTTTCAACAGACTTTTCTTCCGAAGACGTTTTCCGATTCTGTTTATACCCAGAGAAATTTAATTAAAAATGATATTTTTTTTTACATAATATTAATTTAAGGTTTTTCTCTATTTACATTATTCGAACTATTGTCCTCATCATTTTTGCCATATTTATCACAAGGTTTCGGCCGTTGTACGCTCCAGCCTTCTTCAGGTGATTGGAATGTCGAACGGAACCCTTTATTTCGCTCACTAGGGTAGACTGTTCTAGTTCCACGTACCATGTTTTTAATGGATGTCAGTTATCTCCTGTTAATCCCTCTCTCCAAGTTCTCCACCGCCTTAACCAAGTATTGAACTCACACTCTTTCGGTCCTCTCACTGGATCTAACTAACGCATTTACCCATTGTGCCATGTGTCCTTGAGGTTTTCCTCTATAATATTGTCATTCATAGCAACAAATACTTTGATGATTAAATTTATTTTTTATAAATAAGCTGTTTTTCTTTTTAAATGGTATTTTTAAATGTATGTTGAATTTTAGTTTCGTTTACTGTTAAATCACATAAAATAGGAGTGAAATGGTATTTCAAACAATCAGGCCGGTAAATGTAATTAATAGTTTTTCGTTTAAAAAAAAAACAGAGCATTTATTTAAGTAAAGTATATCTATAAAAAATAACGTTTAAACAGAAAGTATATTAAATAACACTTAATTCATTTCATACTACAAAATTAATTATAAATCATTTATTAAGAACATTATGCTAATGTCATAATGAAATTTAATCCTATATTTTTAAAATATTTTAAACGATGTGTACAAAACGTTAACCCTAAGCCTTGTGACAAACCATGCATTTTAAAGCTATTTTTCTAGGTACTTCTATAATCATGAAAAATAACATTTAGGGAAAATAAGTCAGCATAAAACTATTTCTAAATAATAAAATAAAAAGTTACTTTCATGTTTCTTTTGTTTCATCATATTTTTCTTCAAGAAATCATAGTTCCAATATGTTTTTGTTTCATTAAAACTATTTTAATGTGGATAATTACTTTAAAGATTAAAGGGCTTATACTCTTTTTACACCCTTGTCAAGAAACTTAAAACCTTCACTCCCAGTGGAAAGACGAAATTTGAAATAGGCTTCCAATTCTGGGCGAGAGATGCACTATGACATGGTTTCTAGTAAAGAACGTCACGATTGAGTCATAAATAATTTCCTTCTTTTCTTTATCAACTTTATACTTCAAAAAGTAAGGTACGATTACATTTTATTCCGTTATATATTCATCATTATTTGGAATGGTATGTTGCTACCTGTCAGGCAGCTCTTTGATATCGTTAGAGTAAAAAGTAGACGTGAATCTAGATTCCATTAGAGAAAGTTTTCGCCATCAAAGCGTTGTGTAAAGACCGATGTAGGATGTGTGGATGGTGTAATGTAGTGGCTCGCAATGAGAAAACGGTTCAAATTCCAGGTGGAATCATTATAATTACTTACGCGCGTGGGAAAGGTATGAATCCATCACTACTCCCCACAAGCTATGGACAGACTGGTTGGCAGAAAGAAATGGCAATCTTATCCGAGAAAATCTTTTTCGTAGTCAGTCACGAATCGAAATGATCGCTCAGGCGTGGATCACGTGTGGCACTTAATTGACTGAACGACTGAAAAGGGTAATAATCGGTTGGTGCGAGATAAGGTGAGTATGACGGGTGAGATAGAACAGACTAACCGAATTCCCAACTATTGTAATTTCTTATCCTTGCATTATGCAACTTTGTGTTGTCTTGGAAGGGAGCAACATTTTTTTCTTTAAAAAATGTCAAAAAAAGAAAGTCATTTTAGTGTGCTCCTAATTTATTCTCACTGCCACATATGATTAGTAGTTTTAATGATATATACGTTCTAGTAATCGGCTCCTAAAGCCAGAAATTACTGAACTAATACTTTTATGTTATAAATCTTGTAGCAAATATTACACAAGAATATACTGATTGTCGTGTGAGCAGAAAATATTGTTTTGCCTCACGTACAGATCTGCATACTTCAACGCTTGAAAGACTTTCTTGCCACGATTCCAATTCTAATCAAAACCATAATGGACTCAAGCAAAATAGAAAAATATCTATCTATCTATCTATCTAATACTAAAAGTCTGTCATTCGTGCTTGCGTGGTGTGCCGTTTGTCCAGTGCATAATAATGATTTAAGTTTCTTTCTACCTCTCTCTTTCCACCTCTCTCTCTTTCCACTTCTCCCTTCCCACCTCTCTGTGATTATGCGCTTGCGTGCGTGGTGCGTCCGTCCGGCGCGTAATGATCTAAGTTAATCTGATTTAAGTGAATAAGCTTTAAAAATACGAGTTGTTTATAGAGCAAGTATTTTAATTTCACCTTTCTTCAAACAGATAATGTTTTTAATGTCGAAATCAACTTCAATGTTTTATCACCTGACCCGTCAGTGACCCAATGGGTCACGGGTAGTTTAGTCCCTACGCCTAACATTTCTGGGGCTTTTGAATGAGCTATGAATCATTGAAATCGAACCAGTGGGAGCGGGGGAGTTGCTTTGACACACACACGCTGTTCACACACATGCACAAACACACACACATACACCGTACTTTATAGATAAGAGTGTCCACAAAGTCTTTAGACAATTTCAAAAAGCAATTACGAAAAACTTAGAAGAACTAAATATTTATATCTGTCTATATTTCTGAGCTGAGGTATTATGTGCACTATTTACATTATTCGGACTATTGCTTGATAGCAATACACACACACACACACACACACACACATATATATATATATATATATATATATATATGTCATAACAATAATTCGCAGCACACTTAAGAGGATCGCGCTGATATTTACCTGGCACAGGGATAGATCCCTGACGCAGGTGGTTTCACGGCTATGACCGGCTTGGACGAGCTCTGACTTGATGGGACCGGCTATGACTAGCTAAGACCATCATAGACCAGCGACACGAGTGAAAACACTCGGTTTCCCACTCGGTTTCCCACGTTAAAAACTGACCTTTTGTCACAACCTGACTCCTTAAGAGGATCGCGCGGCCCATTAGCTTGCTACGGACGTACTGATCTACACTGTTAGATAATGTTTAGCATAGCAATAGTTGTGCTCTCGTGGGCAAAAGGCGAGGAAATGGGTTTTAATTAAAGAGAGAGCAAGCCTAATTCTAAACCGTATTAAAAAAGATCGAGGAAAATAATATTAAAATAATCAAGAATCTATACTGGCAGCAAATTTTCTGGATATAAAAATAGAAAGAGGTGTCACTCTCCAGTCTTGATAGAGTTCAAAAGCGTCTGCGAGTCCTTGTTGGAGAGGAATTGTTTTCCACCCTCCAACTTCTTTCTCACAGTCGGAATATAGCGAGCCTCTCACTGCTCTATCGGTACCCCATTGAAAGTGCTCTGACGAACTACATTTCTTGGTTCCGCCATGTTTAACCTTCACAGCTAGGATTTGCCATGTTACTTACATTCTGGCAAACCATCCACATTCCCTTCGCAATCTACTGGTGAGAAGTTCCGCTCAAACAGCTTCTTCCCACGAATCACTGCCCCGGTGTTAACGGTTATCTTCCCTTCCTATCAATATAAACTACTCCTTAACGTAACCCTCTACATCGAGTGGCCCCTGTACAGAGTCAACCGTACTGAAAAAAAAAAAAAGGATGTATCTTCTCACCAAATTTATTCAACCTATACCGCTCGGCAATTTGGATAGAATTAGAAGTCCTACCAGGATTCATTATTGGCGACCATAATCTTAATAAGATAAGATATGTAGATGACACTGTATTTAAAGCATACACAGAAAGGAAACTACAAAAGTTTCCACAGAAGGTAGTGAAGGAAAGCGAGTAGAAAGGACTAAGTATAAACTACAAGAAGACATGTATGTTCATCATCAAAAGAGTGAACCAAAATGCAAATTGAAGATACTAAAATCAAACAAGTACAAAAATATAAAAAAATATAAAATGTGGGAAGTGTGCGGTATGTGTGACACTGAGATCCGAAGACGTATTGGGATGGCTAAAGATGCATTTCAAAAGCAAAGCAGAATATTAAGAGACAGAAAAATTACGCTAGAAACAAAGAAAAGAGTATTTTACTATTTCGTGATATCTGTCCTCTTGTATGACAGCGAATCCTGGACAATCTCCTCAAAGATGAACAAGCAACAGAAATGTGATTCTTCAGAAAGATGCTGAGAATATTATGGAGCGAACATGTGAGCAACGACTGGGCTTTGGAAAAATGGAAACAAAGCAAAAACTTGTTCTTAACATCATGAAGAGTCAGTTGAAATTTCTGGGGTACGTAATAAGGAAGAAAGGCTTAGAGAAATTGAGGGAAAGAGGGACAGAGGGAATCAGTGCGTAACATATTTGATGATCTTGAGTCAATCGATGGTAGAAAGGAATTGAGAGAAATAATAAAAGGACATTTAAGAGCTACAAGGCACAGGAAGATGAAGGGATACGACACATAAAAGAAGAAGAACCATCTGTCAGTCTCAGAAGACTAAGGTTGCTAGATAATCTCTGTTGCAGACACAACACCCTCAAAGCCAACATGTGGTTTATATTGTAACTATGCCAAGTTACAGTTTCTGGGAGCGAGCGTGTTTATTGGTTGAACAAGGTCACCATCTTCAAATCCTCGGTACCTATGTCTAGTGACATTGCGCTAACCATCGACGGTTCTACCCAATTTTACACGCACCATTGTTCCTCCCGGGTTTGGTTTTCATTCCAAATGCATTCCAAAAGCTAAGAAGATTATTAAGAGAGAGAAAATTTCGTTAGAAACATAGAAAATCGTATTGAATGTTTACGTGATATCTGTCCTCTTGTATGGCAGCGAATGCTGGACAATCTCCTCAAAGATGAAAAAAGATACTTGAATGAACAAAAATGTGGTTCTTTTTTTTTTTTTTTTTTAAGCATTTCACCCCAAGCAAGGCGGGAAGCCACTAGGACGCAAAAGGTTACAGAAAATTTGGAGCAAGATCAGATAGGAGTGATAGAAGAAAGGATGAGGATAGTGGATAGATCAAGGCAACTGGAGATGTCGATTGACATTACACTTGAATAGCTGGAGATTATAGCTCACAGGGAAACTGGAATAGGGAAGGGAGTTCCACAGGCGAGAGGTGCGAGACATGATGCTATTAGAGTAGAAGAGACGGCTACATTTAGGAGTTTCGCCAGTGAAGGGGTGAGAGCGGGATGCCAGCCTCGTAAGGCGCTGGAACTCGTGACGTCTGGGAACCAGCGAATGCAGCTCCTCGGAGCAATTTCCATGAAAGTATTTGTAGAACAGACAGAGTGGGGCGACGGCGCGTCTGTGAGAAAAATGAAGAGGTGATGCCACAGATTCTGCTAAGGGTACCTGGGACCTAACATGTGAACAACGACGAGGTTTTGGTGAAAATGGAAATAAATACGAAACTTATACTTAACATCAGAAAGCGGCTGTTTTGGAGCACGTAATGAGGAAACTAATTTTACTCGCCCCATTGTTTATCCCATGATTTGGTTTTCAGGCATTTCTATCCTATTCCCACCTCTTCTTTGATCTTTACTGCAACCTGTCAATTTCAGTTGAATTCTTTCTAATCACTGAGAGTATCTCTCCACCCTTCTTTTTCCCTAAGTTAAATCCTTTTACTTTACAAACATTAGTACAAATTGGCTTTCAGATTAACTCAACAAAAGCTGTAATTACATCTGTCTCTTCTTTGACTGAGTGTGAGTAGTCAAATGTGAAAGATTTGCAATCCACTTCATCTTCTTCCAAGAGAAAGTGAGGACTAAAGTGTAGTATCTGTTCTTAGTTTAATCTGATTCTCTCTTTCTACTCATATCTTCCCTTCATTCTTACTTCCACAGATTATCAGTTATTTCCAAAAGTTCCCATCACCCTTGAAAACTACAGATTAAATAAATAGTTAGGAAAGTTATCAATCCACATTTCTGTTCCCTATCCAGATATGATGGAAAAATTGTCTTGTTCCTTACATGTCACAGACCGTTGACAGAGAAGTGCGATAAACACAACCCAATTAACAATCTTAAAAAAAGGATCAGAATTGTATTTTTCTAGAAATTTTCGATACTTGCATAGTCTGGCACAAGGCGATGAAAGTAGAGCACGCATTCCATTGAAGCTCGAACTAACAAACAAAAAAGTGTTCAGTTGTTTGAAAGAAATGGTGAGCTCTGTGATATGGCATTGAGAACATTTTCTCCAAAGGAAGAATTAAAACATTTCTCCTCTTCCTCTCTCTGTCTGTCTGTCTCTGTCTCTTCCATTTATCCAACGATAATTTAAAGAATACCGATAAATTAACAGGAAATTAATACGACAAATTCTGTAGAAATTGGCGAAGAATTAGAAGAATAAAGAAGAAAAAAAGGAAAAAGGAAAAGACAGACTGGCAGAATCTTAGACGAGAATTGATTGAAGCCTGAAAAAAAAGTCGACTACAAACAAGGAATTGAATATTATAAAATAAATCTGGAGTCGGCGGGAAAGGTGATGCTTCTTAAAGAGAAAAGATGCAAAAAAGAAAAAAAGGAAAAATGAAACACACATGCAACAAGAAATAACTAAATAAAAAAAAGTATTCGCTTATTTCATTTTCTTTTTTTAATTTCAAATAAATCTCTCCGTCAGAAAATGCAAATGAAAATCTAAAGTAATGAAGTTCGGAGAAAGACTTTAAAAACGATTCTCGTTTTTTTTCTTTGCTGGTTAATTTTATTTTCAATTTTTTTCATTTTATTTTATTTATTTTGATTAACTAATTTTTATTTACGGCTTCACAGATGAGATTAGGAAGCGAGTAGAAACTTTAAAAAAAATGCATTTGGAGTATACGCGCATGCGTGTCTTTTGACCCTGATCGTTTGCAAAAAAAAAAACTACGTTTGTATGTCACCGATGTGTTTATTGGGTTCTATATTAAATCGCACGTATTAAATCTTTTTGCTGCATATCTAGTTGTATGTATACATGTACATCCCTATACGTATTTTAAATGACTGTTTCCCTAAGAATTTAATTTCTTCTCTGTTTCTATAGACAGGCGTTTCTGTGCAATTTAAGATGTTTTTTTGCCCCTGATGCGTATATTTGTAAGTGCATATACACGTCTCCATCGAGTGTAGATCTGTCAAAAAGAAAATTCAATGCAAGACGGACAAGAAGGGACAATGTTAGAGAATGGTTAGCTCTTTTACAAAGTAACTACCATTTTAAAACAGCCCTGGGTATGACGATAAACTACATCCAGTAGCAAACCCCCTGATTGGGTAATTGGAGGTTTTGAAGAACATGGAACCACCTCTTAATTGCTGTTGTTCCCAGGTCGATCCAGATCCAGGGTGGTAGCACCTGTTGACAGTGAAAAACCCCTAGAAAAATTCGTAAATTTCAATCATGCCCAAATGTAAATGTCTGGATGGCGCTATCATCTGCCAGAGTTTATGGATTCTTCTTCATTGATAGAAACATTGTTGGATTATTGCTTTTATCACAATTCTCCAGAATGGCTTTGCAAACAACAAATCTTCAGCAGGACAGTATATTTGTGCATTACTCACATGTCATCAGAGAGTTCAGGGATAAAACATTTGCCTAGTTGATAGTTCAGGAGAGTGAGACAACTGATTTAGGTAGCAAAGTCCCCCCGCCTCAATATTACACTTCTAAATTTTTTTTTGTTTGGTATCATGTCAAGAATGGGATTTACAAAAGAAAGGACAAAACATTTCAAGATTTAAAAGGTTCAATCACACCTGAAATGTGCTGAAATGCTACTCAAAATTTTCATAAAAGATTTCAAATTTTCATCTATTGAGAAAGATTCATTTTACTTATCATTTGATTTGTTCATAATGCTAATGGTAATATTAGCTGTTTCCATACAAGGAAACATTTGGCATTCATTGACCGAGCAGCTAGTACTGCTTTCAGTTAAACTTCATAAAATCATTCTCTTAAAACAAGTTTTTAGGAAAACAGGTTTTGTCAAATTCAATAGCTGTTATTACTTCCTAACCTTTTATTTCAAGTAGTGTGAAATGTTAACATCTTAATTATGTCATTATTTTCTCTTCAACTTAATGTGCTATCCATTTTAGTTGCTGCCGCTCTTGGTAGTCCTCAAGTGATAAAATACTTTCCTTTAGAACTCATTTTGCTTTTCTTCTATTTTAGGATTTAAACAAGGAAGTTAATTCATTTCAACACTGTATATAGGCGTGGACCCTACAAGTGTACTCCGGTAGGTCGTATGCGTGTATTTAATATGATTTCATAAAAAAAGAAAAGAGACTGGAACAAGATAGGAAAAAGGCTAATACATTGGCTTCAATAACAAAAGTGACCCGTGTTAATGGCAAAAACAGTAATTAAACAGCAGAAAATAATATACAAGATAGTAAAGGAATGCGGAGAGAAAAGACAAACCATCAATTGTAAGAAAACAGAATGTATGGTCGTTAGCAAAAGTGGAAGCTAAAGGCGCTACAAATTGGGGATGCCAGAATCAGGGGAGTATAATATTATTATCTGAGAAGTGTTATAAAAAAAACACCAAAAATGTGACAGAAATTCGAAGGCATATCGAAATAGTGAAAGATCCTTCCAAAAGATAAGCGAAATATTAAGAAACAGGATAAATTACTTAAATTCAAGGAACAGAGTGCCAAATTGTTATGTAATATCAATCCTCTTCTATGACGTGATCCTTGGACAATCTCCTCACAGATGAAGAAGAGACTTGAGGCAACAGAAATATGGTTCTACATGAATGAGGATGCTAGAATACAATGGATTGAAAATATGAGTAACAAGGAAGTTTTAAGGATTTTGAAACGAAAATGGCACTTATACTTAGAATCAGAAAGAGATGAAGATTCGAGGACAGATAATGAGGAGAGGGGGTTTGGAGAATTTGAAACTCACACGACATATTGAAGGCAAGAGAGACTGTTAGAAATAGTGAGTAATCAACCTAACAAGCTCCTGCAAATGGATGACAGGACAGGGACTGGGATGTTATGACGAAAAGATTTTACTAAGAGCTATTCGGTTATTCGGAAAATAATGTCCGATTTTAGAATCAACTTTTATCCCTGAATTAATGTATTTAAATAGCGTTTAAATCATTCAAACTAAGAACCCTGAATATCTCTACATCACTGTCACCAAGTTACAGACCCCAAATTTCTTTGCATCTTTTGGCTTAAAAATTGTCAAGATGCTTGAAATGGTAGTAGTCAGTGAATATGAGTGTTGTAAACTAAAAAGGGTTACTGAATAAGGTATAACCAAAAACGGAAGTCGGATGTGAAATGGTAATCGTTATAACATCAACAAAATACAATACTCGCAAGCGGGGTGAAGTAGGTTAAGAATGTGTAATATATTTTTTATGAAAGTCTATCAGAACGCAATTAAAAGTGTTATTCTAAAAGCAGGAATTATTTCCCGAAGAACCTAATACAAAATGCTGACAACCATTATCTAAGAAATCTCTCCGCCATTTTGACGTTCGTTTTATTGTGGAGAGCCATGATCACCCAGGTCTTGAAGAGACACGGTAGATAAAAGAGCTCTTCGTTCTTTAAGAGCGTTCCAGTAATCTTGAAACGACAAAAAAGAACCAGATCTCAAGCATAAGACGTATGGCTTTATAAGCTGTTCTGTGGTATTGATTTACATGCAATTACGTAAATGAGTCGGCAGTGTTAGACACTTCATATAAAATTCCGATATCAGTCGTTAAATGTTCAAGTACGACGTTCATTATTTTTCCACCGAGGCTCTGATTCCTCTGTATTTTATCGTACGCCCTTTTCTCGGCAACATTTTCACACGCTACCCATCCCTGTAAGTGACATTTATCTGCATGGTTATATGGTTTCCTGGTTCCCATTCTGTTCGGTTTCAGTTACATTATCATTATTATTACGAGGTGTTGAATACCAGCGGCTAATTTCAGCCAAGTCTTCAAATACTAACGTAGAACACACAAGAAGTTCTCACTTTACTGGCTTTTTACCAAAATGAAGATTTTTCTGTTTTACTTACTTTGATTTGAACTTTTCCTTCTTCTTCCTTCTTTCAGTTTTCTTCGCTTTTCACTTATAATTTTCCAATTTTCTTCTTCTTCTCTTTCGACTTCTTCCGCCATTTTTTATATTTCTTCTATTTTTCTTTCTCTCGGTGCTATTTTGTTTCTCCTTTGTTTTTTCTTTCATATTTTCTTCTTGAACTTCAACCGTCACTTTATATTCCTCTTTTTGTCTTTCTTTCCCTATTTTTTCTACTTTCTTTCTTTCTTTTTTTATCTTTTGTCGATCTTTTTCTTTTCTTTCTTTCATTCTTTCTTTCTTTCTTTTTTCTCGGTTCTATTCGTTTTTCAATTCTTAAATGCATTTCAAATCTGACTTTGCTGTTTGTCCGTCATGATGATGTCGCACAAGAGGCATCACACAAGTAAACTTTTACACTGCGTTAAATGTATTTGTTATTTAACCATTGTATAATATATTTAAATCTCAGTCCTTAAACTGAAGATATTCATAATTAATGTTATAGATGATATTCATATTGTCATAGCTGTATCAGAGCTCATCAATTTGGCTAGACATCCGATTGCCTCAAACCAGAATCGAAACTCAACTGATTTGATTTTTTCCGCTAAGCCCCAGGGTCTCGGCAGAGAGGAAGGTGAATTTTTACGTATTTATTTTTAATAAACATGCCAGTGACTCAGAGTGCTCGATTCAAAAAGAGCTTTGCATTATCAGCAGTAATAGTCGCTGTTTACACATTCGCGCTTTCTCTCTATAGTGCTCGAGCGAAATTTATTTTTCCAGATCGTATATGTATTGTCATCCACAGACAGACTGTTTCGCTGTATTACAGCTCATCAGTGTGGCTAGACATCCGATTGCCTCAAGCCAAGATTGAAACCCGATTTATTTGTTATCACTCGGAGATTTTCCCCCTAAGCTATCGGCTCTCGGCAGAGAGGAAGGTAATTTTTACGTATTTACTTTGAATAAACATGTCAGTGACTCAGAGTGCTCGATTCATAGAAGAGCTTTGCATTTTCCTACAAACTACAAGATAATATTTCCTGTGAGTTGTTTATTTTGTATAACAATAGTTTCCAGAGGGTTTTGACACTTTTCTGGCATTGGCTGCTGTATAACATTTTCTTATTATCCACAAATATTTGCCTTATGCTGGTAGCAATTTTGATTGTTCGTGATGTACTGATCGACGTGTGCACGAATTGGGTTTCGATGGGTGACAAGTCAACCTACGAGAGAGTGTAGTACAAATGCGGCCGATGTAAGAAATTATTTGTTTTCTTTGTTGATATTGGAGATGCAATCTCCCGGGGGTGGGAATAAGAATTCATAAACAACATTATCTTTACATAGTCTGCTTAGTTCCCGTGTTATTGCTAATAATTAGATTTTATCATTTTTATAGTAAATGATAAATCTAATCTCTTTGTTATGATCATCAAGTGATACATATCGGCGAATTATATATCTAATTACTTTTTCATCCTGTTTATAATTAGGGCGCATCTGGTTACGATAGAATAAGTTGATGATATGCTTATTTTGTTTATATCACGGTGGTATCTTGTATTATTTTTTTCTAAATATCGTTAATGCTAATTTGATTTGTTCGTCAACAACATGGTTAGGGAAGTTGTTGTCGATAACATTTTTTTTTTTTTTAGAATATTTGCCATAAGATTATCTTGGTCCGGTAATTCATGTTTGTTTATAACAGCTATTTTGTATCTGAGAGGAGATTCACTTTTGTAGTTGAGGAGATACGAGTTTCTGCTGGTGTGCTTTTTATCAGCAGAAGTGATAAAACTATTGCCTTTTGGCGTCAGCTAAAACATCGAAAAAAAGGATTGTATTATCAATACTGAGTTCATACGTGTAGGAAAAAGTTATTCCCGGAGGTTTCTTTAAGGTGTTTTCATTCCATCTAGTATGAAAATGCTGTTGAGATATACACACACACACACACACACACACACACACACACACACACACACACACACACACATACATATATATATATATATATATATATATATATATATATATATATATATTCATATATATATTATGATTTGCTCTGCTTAGTGTATAGATCACTTTGCTTAGTAATTTTGCTATACTCATGTTGGAGGTATTTTTTCTTTGGACTCTGAGCTTGGATTCTGGACGATTGTTTTCGCCTGAATTACATGTTCTTAGTTATTTCTTTTTTATTACTTATTTTTCATTGGATATCTTATATTTATAAGATTATTATTATTATTATTATTATTATTATATTCGACTCTCCCATCGAATTCGACATATGAGGGTCAAGCAGCGAGAGCCCGACAACAGCACATGAGATTTGATTATAGTGGTGAAGGTTTCGTGCAGGACCATACACACTTTTTGAAGGGCCGAATACAGAGACCTGGTGCACTACGTGCCACAAGGTCCCCAAACGACCCTCTGCAGGTTTTGAATTCAGAGTTGTCCTTCTCCTAGACCAGTTGCCATACAAGGCTATAGAACCCAGTCTGTCCTGCTATTTACTCATAGCTGGAGGGAGAAGAAAAGGATTCACACCTTTGTCCAGTATGTACACACATTGACACACACACAAGAACACATAAATATATATATAGATGCGTGTCTGTGTGTGCGTGCATCTTTGTAAATGATAATCAAAATATGTATTTTATATGTTATATAACAACCAAATTTTCACACATGTCATTTGTTTGAACAAAGTGCAATTAACTCATTAATAGGTTAACACCACAAGAACTATAATAGTACTAGACAGTTCCTCTCTCACAATACTAAAATACTATATAAACCCAATTGCTAGAAAGACTAAATATTATTGAAGCTCTCAACTTTCAACAAAGGCCAGTGCTAAAAATAACTATTGTCTAAGTCCCTGAATTCTTGAATGTCTCTAAAAAGAATTACACTTCATCACTTGTTGTTGGTATGAGTCCCCTAACATGTTGCTGACAATTCCACTGCATTGGATTTAACTCTGAAACCAAAAATAAAATCACTTTTAAGACAATGCGCTGATTAAAATATATTTTCTTTTCTTCTCTATATTTCTATCCTTTCATCTCTTGACGTTGATTCACGTGATTCAAAAGGTTGGAATCACTACGAATTTGCTCGATTTCTTACATCTAAAATTTACAAAAAGCTATTGTCTATTTTTTTTTACATCCGCTATTTGCGAGAGGTTATCCACATATTAGAAAATTATATATATATATATATATATATATATATATATATATATATATATATATATATATATATATAAGTGTGTGTGTGTGTGTGTGTGTGTGTGCTGGGTGACAATATTTAATTCATGTAAGTTTGGTTCAGACACATTTTCTACTTTCCGGGATGAATTTGAACAAATGTAATATATATATATATATATATATATATATATATAGATAGATAGATAGATAGATAGATAGATAGATAGATAGAGAGAGAGAGAGAGAAAGATAGAGAGATAGTCTGGAAAAACAGAAAGCTTACTACGAACAACAAACAAACAGTCTGCAGGGCTTGCGTCGTTAGCGTGCTACTCTGCAGCAGCAAAGCATATGGCCTCGACTCCAGACAGGAGAGACGCCTCAGTGCTTTTCATCTTTGCCGTCTGAGATGCATTCTGGGCATGAATTGGTTCGACATGGTCACTAATGCCATAGTTCTCTCCCGTGTTCAGTTAACCCCCGCTTCTCTGTCAACGCTGGCTTCGCTGGCTTGCACATGTACACCGTTTGTCAGATAGGCTGATTCCGAAGGTCTTTACGTCACAAAATTACTGCAACACAAATTTTTGGCATTCGTTTCAAGAGTTTCTCAAAGAATGAGTTTGATAATTGATTCCATTCTTTTTTCAATGACTCTAAGAACTCTTTTTCATATTTTTCACTCTTCTGTTAAGTCCATCTCATGCTACTTCTGGGGGTGGTTTCAATCTTTTGAACTGTAATATATATATATATATATATATATATATATATAAAACAAAATTACAAACATTATGTCACCTTCTTTTTAGCATAATCCGTTCATATTCACGGATATATTTCGTGTATTACAATCTAATAATGAAAGAAATGCACTGCAACAGGGAAATAAAAGTGCATTTAAAGTGCATTTAAAGTGCAAATACGCGTACTGATTAAATATAATGATTATAGCAATAAGAAATAACTTCTGATTAAAAGATCCATTTAAATGTATATTAAAATTGTATATTTGTACATTTAAATTTTATATTAAATATATATTTAATAAATATACATACATTCTTTTTTTAGGGCAACATAGTTTCATGCTTTTCCCAAGTCGTCAGAAACGAACTGACGACTTAGGAAAAACATGAAGCTATAAGTTGCCCTACAAAAGTAGGTATATCTATATTTATTAAGACCAATAAAAAGCGCATTTTTTTAAAAACTTCATATAAAAAAATAACGAAAATTGCCAGTAAACACTGATGAATGAAGCAAACGATTACAAAGAGGGTTTGTCTACGAATCTCTGGAGCTGGAATGCTAAATAGAAGGACAATCAGTTAAGTAACAAATTTTATATTTGTATTTATCCTATATATATATATATATATATATATATATATATATATAGAGAGAGAGAGAGAGAGAGAGACAGACAGACAGAGAGAGATGAAAACAAACATAGATAACAGACATAGATACATACATAGATATATTGATAGAGAACAGACATAGATAGATAGATAGATAGATAGATAGATAGATAGATAGATATGAAGAGACTGACATATATAAATGGATATGAAGAGACTGACATAGATAGATAGATAGATAGATAGATAGATAGATAGATAGATAGATATGAAGAGACTGACATATATAAATGGATATGAAGAGACTGACATATATAATAGATAGATAGATAGATAGATAGATATGAAGAGATACATATATAAATGGATATGAAGAGACTGAGATAGATAGATAGATAGATAATGACATATATAAATGGATATGAAGAGATATGAAGAGACTGATATATATAAATGGATATGAAGAGACTGACATAGATAGATAGATAGATAGATAGATGACTAGATAGATATAAATGGATATGAAGAGACTGACATATATAAATGGATATGAAAAGACTGACATAGATAGATAGATAGATAGATAGATAGATAGATAGATATGAAGAGACTGACATATATAAATGGATATGAAAAGACTGACATAGATAGATAGATAGATAGATAGATAGATAGATAGATAGATAGATATAGGGTGGTAATAAAGTCATTATAGAGAAAAAGTCATTGTATGAAAAGGAAAGCATTGAAGCAGGTGGCTCGCTTTTCGAACATTATCGGTAATCAATTTATTCTTGTTTACTATAGTATTTATTGTTATTAACCAGAACTAACCAGAACCATTTTAATAATAAATTTCTGGACTGTTGTTTAATTGCTTTATCTTAATTGTTATTCTAAGTAACTCTATAATGAATTTATTGCCACCTGATATATATATATATATATATATATATATATATATATATGTGTGTGTGTGTGTGTGTGTGTGTGTGTGTGTGTGTGTGTGTGTGTGTATAATGATGAAAGTGGAGATTTTAGAAACCCATAGTAATATTTTATTTCGCAAGATATTACCTCTCCTCGTCTATATATCTCTCTCCAGACATACATATCTTTTTCTCTATCCCCGTTTCTCTTTCTCTCTTTTTTCCTTTCCCCCACCCCATATTTTATTTTAGAACACATCTTATGTTTAAAACTTCCTTTTTTTTTTTTTCGCTTGTGCCTGGATGAAATTTAAATCCATTTATTTCTGAAACCGTTCGGTCTGATGAGACGAGATCGATTAATCGGTCTTGCGAAATTAAATATTACCATGGGTTTCTAAAGTCTCCACTTTCATTATTATTATTTGCTCTGTCCTTACATTGAGCTCTCTTTGGATTTGTATCCTCTTTGGAATTATCCATATGAATTATCAAATAATAATATTATTATTATTGATATTATGTATGTATGTATCCCTAACGATATGTATGCAAAGAGTTACAGGTCTGACAATTTTGAGCTAGAGTTTTAAATATGTTGCCCGATTTAAAGTGACATTTCCGTTTCATGTACAACTGAATCAGACAATGATATATAGCAATGGTCATACTCGGCAACGAGCTTCCCAACCGCCATGTATCGTATATTTTAATGCGGTGCACTTAGAAATACTGTCGCCCACCTTATTATTGTTTACAAAAGTTAAGCCAAATATATCCGCCATTACTCTGTCAGTTTGCGTTTTTGTTTTTCTTGTTTATTTTTATTTTTATTTTTTTACTTATCCTGTTTTTTTGTCGATGCCAGCCATCACCCACGTACTTAGCATCCATCCCGCTAACCGCGCCCATCCATACCTTTCCTGTGCGTCATCGGGCGAAGAACCGGGTTTGACCAAGCCAGACAAGGATGATCGCCTAAGCCGCTCTATGCCGTATCAGTTGCCTTCGTCATTCTGGGAGGGTCTAATTTTGGGAAAAGTACAACCACGTGACATTAACGATTGCGTAAACAATCTTTTCGCCGCTGACAGCAAGTAGCCACTTAAATATATATAAATATTTTTTTCCAAAAGTATTCGTAGCAATTGTCGTAGAGCGATGATAACCAGAAAACTCAACACACACACACACATATATATATATATATATATATATATATATATATATATATATATATATATATATATATATATTCATGCAAAATCCGTTACTCAGATTTTCATGTAGCAACAATTTTCCGGAACTGATGACTGTTACTGCATGAAACTCTGAGTAGCGGATTTGGAATATGATATATATATATATATATATATATATATATATATATATATATATATATATATATATTGCTATCCACTTTTGGCAGTATTAGAAAGAAAGAAAGAAAGAAAGAAAGAAGAAAAAAGAAAGGGTGTCACTAGAAAGAAAGAAAGAAAGAAAGAAAGAAAGAAAGAAAGAAAGAAAGAGAGATATACAAATGTTGCGTCTAGAAATGTGTGTGTGAGTGACGTATACATACATATATGTATGTAGACGTCACAGATTTATTTTTAAAAATTGCAAGCGGTATATGAAGGGGACAATAAAAAATGTTTTACTACCATCATCCAGGATCAGCCAAACAGCAACTGTCGAGCACTAAGCAGCAACTGAACCAACGTACTATCAAGTGACTCTCAAAAGTCCCTTAAGATATCCTCTCAAAAGGAAAATAATCACCTTCTATATGTATGCAAAACTAAACCTTTTGCTGCTCGATGCTTCCGGCACAAATTTTGTCATTTATCTCAAAAAACCGAAGATGATTTATACATGATTGCACGTCCTCGAGTCAAAGACACGGGGCTGATTTGTACACGAAATCGTCTCGTTCCCGGATGATCCCCAAAGTTAAGCAACGTCGAACCTGGTCTGTATCTAAATGGGTTTCCGCATGAGAATGCCAGGTGCTCTAAGCTTAGATGTGCGGGTGGTGCAATGAACAATGGCTCAGAATTGATATTCGAAGAGCCGGGTTCCAATCTCTTCTGCGTTCCTTATATTCACTTACGCTCACAAACCCTTGGGAAAGGTATGAATCCACCTATTCCCACCCTAGCTGGGGGAGAAGGAGAGTATTCATACCTTTCCCAAGGGTATTAGCACCTACTGTTTGTAATGGATTCGACTAAAATTCGAACTTGGCTTTCTGATTCCTCAATCTGAGCCGATATATATATATATATATATATATATATATATATATATGACTTCTGGCGACACTGAGGATCTGTGATACAGCGAAAGTCTCTCTGTGGATGACTATATATATATATATATATATATATATATATGTATGTATATATATATATCGCAGAACTGTTCGAATGTTCTTTTTATCCGAACACTTTCGGCTATAGATTTAGCCATTTTTAAGGATTAAATAGTTTAAATGTTAAACTGTTAAGAAATAGTTTATTGTATGCATGTTTTATAAAATGTTTTATGCATGTTTTATAAAATGTTTTCATTTTCATGCAACAACATGTTTGATACGCAGACTCACTCTACACCTTTCTGGCCATAGCTCAATTAGATCTCATTTAAATATTCATGGGGACCTACCGGACACTATTCGGAACAAATTTATTGACAACACTAATATAATAGCATTATCTACATGCAAAAAATGGCTAAAAAATAATGGAAGCCTTTTTAATAAAAACAAAAAAAAACACTTAATAATATTAACTTTGAACATGGACATATCTTGACCGTGTTTTGAAAAAATTCGGACAGTTTTTATATGATTTAACATCCGAAAAGGAAAAAAAATATTAGATCGCATGATAAATTGTATAAAAAAACTAAATAAAAACACCTTGTTTGTCGTATTCAATGAAATGTATATATATATATATATATATATATATATATATATATGAGACAGAGGTCTATTGAGTCTCAAGCAGAAGAAGAGAAGAGAAGAAAGCCCAGAAAGACAATTACCTGAATTTTTTTTATAGAAGAGGGATCTCCTTCCTAACAATAACCTACATACCCCTCCCCTTCCTCACGACCATCGACTTATGCCATCAGTTCTCCACCGTACAGGTGCGGTAAAATTAAATTAAGTCGTTTTCATCAATAATTCATGTGTTTATGGGTTTATCTTTTCTGTTAGATTTAATGATTTTCATTGGTTTTGAGTATGTGGGGTTCAGAACGGATCAATCCATTTTACATTGATTCCTATGGGGAAAATAATTTCAGTTTACGAACATTTCGTGGAGCGAAAGGTCTTCAGGAACGATTAAATTCGTGGATCGAGGTTCCACACTTTAAATATATATATATGGATGTTTACTATGGCAGTTAGCCAATCCCTGCTGCAGACTCCTGCTCAGCCATATTTGTGTTTGTTCAATACCCACAGAGCCCACCTGTGATATAATGCCACTATACTGAGATAACCTCGCTTACTATTTCTGGGAGAGCGCAAACAAGTCTCGGGTTAACCGTTTTCTTTCCTATGTATCCTCGTAAACTGCACTTTTACCTGCCCCTCCTTCATTCATTAAACAACCTCAGTCAGTAATGCTCTACATTGAGTGACTCTTTGGCCTTTATAATTTTCACTTCTTGAGCCGTTTATGTTAGGTATCGCGTCAGTTCTGCCATCTGCCGAAACATTATGTCTCCCACTTAGTGATTTCTGGTTTTACCATCTTCGGAGTCATTAATATTCAATGGCTGCATACTTTTCGGACCTAATTAACACGGGTTTATTAGGAACGGTCACCGGAACGGTTCGCAGTACAGAAAAATGTAATCGTCAATCTGAGTTCGAATCCTGTCTTTTCCTGCTTAGTTTACTACTTTTTTTAATTCCATGTCTCTTCAGGACTACAAGGTTTCCTTTATTGTTTGTGAAATACCAGACCTCTTAGAAAAGATATTGCAATCGTTCAAACAGTTTTTTTTTTATTCAGGGTTTTCCTTCTCCTGAAGTGGTTGCCAAGGAAGTTTAGAGAGTTTGGTCTATCTTGCTAATTATCCCATAACTTGGGGTGGAGTAGAGGAGATATATTGATGTTTTTCCCCAAGTGTATTCGTGCGAAAGTGAAGGCAACCGACTAGGCCAGGATGCGAACTCGGTTCACCGAATTTAATTTTCATGTCGATAACGGCTACAATACTCGCAGATCGTATGGATCCGTGACCGAGTGGTTAGAACGTTCGCTTTCTAACGATGATACTCAGGTTCGAATCTCACCATAGTCGACTTGTCAGGAAGGCGACATCCTGATGTGATCGGACTGGATCGAGGTCGATCCCAGCGTGCGGCACTTTTGGTCCAAGCCTTGTGAGTGACGGAACTCTAGCACAAAGAAACAAGTCACCGTGGCCGAGGGCCTCAGCGTGCTGGCCTTGTTCAAATTGTTGATCGCGTTAGATAACAGGCTCTCTCTCAGAAACTGTAACTAAGGTTGCTCAGAATATTTGCAGTATACATCACAGGTGGGCTCTCTCTAGGTGTTGAGCAAACACAAATGTGCCTGAACGAGCGTCTGCAATAGGGATTGGCTAGTTGCCCTAGTAGACGGGTATCATCGAATACGAGTGGCCAGCTTTTATTATTATTATTATTATTACTCGCAGGCCGTACGTCCACTTCAATGTATGATGGCAAAAAAGATAACCTGACCATCATAGTCAGTAAGATTCTAGTTTTTATTGCTGGGCTGATACGTATTGTCTAATCTCTTATATAA